CAGGTGACTCTAAGAGAGACGATGTCACGGTGGTGACAAGTGGTTATTCTTTGTCTTCCCTATTCTGGCTTAGAGTTCAGAAGACCTTTCTGTGAGGGGAAAGTGTTCTTCTGCTTTGCATACCTACTCTCTCTTACTAAAGGAAAAATCTCTTCTACAATGCCTGTGTCGCCCGTCAAAAAGCCATTCAACTGACAGCAGTAATAGCATCGTTGTGGCTATTTAGGTAACCACCGGCCACCCATTAACTTCGTTTCCAGAGAAAGCCACTTTGCTGACTTTCACACCCTTAACCCGTGAAGCACTGAAAAATCAGAGCTAAATGTCTAGCCCAGACAATAACTACTTAAAAGAATACTGCCTTATGTCTGCAGTTTTGAACTGAATACCTCTTCTATAGAATGCGATATTTTTCTTATTATACTGCACTGTGAATAACAGGTCTGTGGTTTTCACTCTTGAATAATTTTTGGGACATCAAGAGCTTACATTATATTAAAAAGAGTAGGTTTCTTTTCAGCTGAGGTGTTTAAGGCAATGCTGTTAATGCTGTATATAACAACTGCCTTTTTTTATTCATAAATACGGCACAAACTTCTTGTCAAAGGAAAGGATTTTCTTTTACTATAAAAAGATAATTAATTCAGGCTGGATAAACTTAATGGCACATTTGCCATCTGGGCAAAGCAAACAAAACACCAGAATAGAATTGTGTGAAGAAAAAATAATCAGAATATTGAATAAAAATACATGCTTAAATTCTGTTTTGATTTCTTTAACTACAAATAATTTTCCACCCCAAGTATTGTGCTCACACTTACTTGAAAGGCAATATAAAAGGCAATAGGGAACACGATAAATACACAGCTACATGTGGACAAAAATTTCAGGGGATTTCTTTCTTTTTTGTTTTTTAGACATCGGTAACATAAGCAAAATGTTTCATAGGCTCTGCATCTCTTTTCATCTATACCCATGAGGGACAGAGACTCTTATCAAATAAAATAATACAGATAAAGGTGCTTTGTGGATTTTAAAGAACCATAAAAGTATAAGAGGATTATTATTTTCATCAGCCTGGTGTGTCCTTAGAGAGAACTCAGACTCATTGACGTTATTAAATCAACTCAGGAAATTGAACTTGGCTGATGATCATGATCTTTAAAACCCTTGAAAAAATGGCACTTGTCGTGTGAAGCCATCACTGCACTGACATTCTAGTCTCACCTTTAGGCTCTTAGTTGTCACTTATTTAGAAATATTGCTCCTTTCTCATCCTCTCATTCAACATATCAGCCTTTGCCTCTTCTAAGCCACTGTATGGCCTAAGCCCACGAGTCCCTGATTAGATGTAGTGTAACTGTGCTTTCTCTCTCTCCACCCACTCATACCTTCTCGGCCTCTTTCCATCTCCCTCGTTTTAACTGTGCCTCATCACCAGTCAGCAGAGTGCTATCATGACCCGTATCCTGGTGCCTGCCTCTACCCCATTTTTCTGAGTGAGAAAGACTGGCCTCCCTCCTATCAAATAATTCTCATTTAAAAGTGATTCAGAAAGTCCTTTCAAGAAGCCATCCCTGTGTTAAGATGCTGACCACAGAACAATTCTAACTGTCCTCAGAACCCAACGCTGGCCTTGCATGTTAACCCTCGCGACCTTGTTCTCTCATGTCATATGCACCTCAAACGGCTTTGTCGTTTTTGACAGTGGACAAATAATTATTCGCCTAAGTTGATCTCCATTAAGTGTTGCAAGAGACTCATTAAGTGACTGCAATAATGAGGCCGATGTAAGACGATGTTCTTAGAAGTAATTTTATTATTCTGGGATTCGGTGGTAAGGAGATTTTGACTTCAACTCTTCTCTGGATACTAGAAGCAATGCTTCCTATCTTTTTTTTTTTTACATGTCAAAATAAGTCCCTTTCTTTTGGAGTGTAAAGAAAACTTTTTACCAGAGCCCATACGACCAGGTAATACCTAACTTACTGGCCTCTTCAAGGACTTTTTCTGACTCAGGCCACTCTGGCCTGCTTCTGCTCTTTGAACATGCCTCCATCCTTCCTGACTAGGGTTTTGGTGGGCTGTTTCTCCAACCAATCCTTCCCACTCCACCCCAGGTAATTCTGAATTACGATGTACAGCTGAACTCAGCTGTCACTGTCTCAAAGCCGCTCTCCCCGACATCTTGAACAAATCTGCTCCTCCCTTTATGTGCTCTCCTGGTGCCCTTCGTAGAACTGATAACAACTGAATAAGCAGTTGGGTGCTTAACTCGGTACCGTGCCTTTCCTACTAGAATGGAAATGCCATGAGGGCTGAGACTACCACCGCCTTGTTCACAGCTGCAATTGCAGCATCTAGCATCACGTTCACACACAGCAGGTTTTCAACAAATTGGGTTACAATATAACTGATGGAGTGAGTTCCTTCACAAAACAAAACATCAACAACGATGAAGACGAACCACCTGTAGGATTGCACCGGATCCTCTGATGACAATATTCTGAAAGTGTTAACAAAGTTTGTAAAAACCGAATGTACAATTTCCAATTCTGCTTCTGTGTAACAATTTCCTCTTCAATTCCTCTAATAGTTAACTTATTTTGAAATCCAGGATTGGTGAAGTAAAATATAGTACAAAATCATGACTCTTTATTAATGATTCATTAATTTTTCTTCTGTTTAGCATCAGATAGATTATACAATTAGGGGGCTTTTCAATGAAGCTAGTTTCCTTGCATAATAAATTCCTTAGTGAAGACAAAATTCAGTCATCAGACATACTCAGAAGCATTGAACCAAATCTCTGTGGAAATGGGATTTCCTCTGAGCAAAAATTTATACATGACATGCACACATTAACTGTGACTCACATATGAATGCAGAAAGCTTACATGAAGCCTGATATAACACAGACGAAGGAACACAAATGCGTTCTCTAGTACTTGTGTGTAGGGGGAGCAATGGACTCAATTATATTGCCTGATTTTCATATCGTATATGAAAGGTGCTTTGTGGATTGGGTTCAGTGTTGGGTTCAGTTTGACCCCATGAGCCATTGAATTTGATGGCTATAAACAGTAACATATCAAAACGTATAGGTTCCTCTCGCAGCAACAGCAACAGCAGCAAAACAAAAATAATTCTATTGAGTCTCTGTTCTGATAAAGAATAAGAGCATATAAAACTAGACTTGTGACTGGGTTTTAAACATCTCTGGGCTCACCAATTCTGTCTTGGTTCTGTCTGCATTTCTATGTCCCTCGTTTTCTACTCCTTTTTGCTTCTTCAGGGAGAGGTTAGAAATAATATTCTCTCATATATCTTTTTCTGTATTTGAAATTAAGAAAAGATAAGAATATAATTCATCAATATAACTTTGAACTGTAAGCCTGATTTTTATTAGGCGTACTTACCTTTACTATTTGAGGTTCTAAGCCTATGGACTTGTGTTTTATTATATGTAATGTATGGCAAACATTTTCAGCATTTAAGGCAGTAGGTGGGACATAAGCACAGTATCCCTGTCTAGGCAAATGACATTGGGCTGGTTAATTAACGAGGACAGCTCAAGAAGGGAACATTTTGAAACACAAATGAAAGACTGATTTTGTTATTAATATAAGCATAAAAAGTAAAATTTAGATGGTTTTACATGATTACTTTGTTTCATAAGTTAGCTAAGAGTGTTTTAAGAAGTTGCCTTGAGTTTCTTAAGTTCAACCAAAGTTAAGTAATTAATGTGGGAGGAATCCTAATTTTGAGGACTAAAAAATGTCAAATTTGAAAACGATTTGTATGTTTATACAACCAGAATGGATCATTGGTCATTATAAAATATTATTGGCAAGTGACTGCTGTTATGATTTTCCTTCCCCCACCCCAATAAACATAGAAAGGAGGCTAACTTTTGTCTGAGGATTGAATTAGAAACTTACAGTTTGAAACTGTCCCTGATCCTACTCATCAATAAAAAGGCTAGGAAAAAATAAAAGATAAATTTTAAAAATTCCATCTCAGATGAAATTAAATACATACACACACACACACACACACACACACACACACACACACACACACGAGCAAACAAAACAAGTGCCCCAATCCCAATCCCTAAACTTTAAAAGTATGGCCGCCAAATACTCTTCATCTGGTCTGAGATCAGGGACCAAGCTGAGAGTCAACATATGACTCTTTGAAAGTCAAATAAGATACAGATTTCTCCAAAACTACCTTGAAAGAAATTTTTAAGCATACATTGACTAGAACAATGAGACACACAGCATGGATGGGGCACTGGATGATAAAAGAATGTTCCAATAGAGAACGGGTTTGCACAGGGAGATGGAAAGAAAGAGAATTCTTAGGTCAGTTCCTACTCTATAGTCTCTCAGTGAAGACGGTTCGAAGTGAATTGAGTGAAAGAACTGTGTGATGAGAACTTGTCAATTTGATACTTGTATGTTGCAAAAAATATATATAAATATAAACAATTATTTTATTTCAAAAAATGGTGACTCTAAAAATCTGCTATTTATTTTACAAATATGGCAAAAATTGTGAAAATAAAATACCTGTACTTAGGAAAGCATGAAATATAACCACTATTACAACCATTAGTTTCCTATGCACGATTCTACCTATCAGTGAAGGTTTTTATCGCCACCCCAACCTAAGACCTACTGATTCCCATACATGCCAGGTACCTGTAATCTCTTTCTTCCATAACAGTTCTTGGTATATTAATAACTAAATTAGAGGGTGGCCCTGGTTTGACACCTAGTTCCTTCTTCCTCTTTGGTAGTCAGCCACTTCTTCCTCCAGGTACTAGACCTAGTAAAGCAGATGAAGGCTGGTGGGCAGTGGTTCCTCACTAGTTGGCACATACCGTTTACCTGCAGCAGGGGTGCCCAGCCCCCACAGCTGTTCAATCTCTTGACTATCACCCTCGAACAAATGCCCACTATTTTCTTTCAAGAAGTGAAATATCAGTGCAATTTCAAATGATAAAATATGTACATAATTTTATTCAACATTTTACATTATGCTACAAATATGTACAACTTCAATAATAAATTAAAAATAAATGAACAAAATAAGTCTGAGGACATCTTGTAGACACCATGTTACTCAATGCCATTTCTCTGCCTTCATGTTTAAGAGTTCATCTCATCCAAGATCCTGGTCGTCTTCTTGCTGGAAAAGTTGTTTTGGCAGAACGTTTGAAATGCAGTGTTTCACTGCCTCTAAGCAACTGGAAGGTGTTTGTTAATAACAGAAATGCTGAAGAGGATCGGATGCAATCAAGAAGTGTTGATGAACATTTGCACAATATGGTTAAAACTCCGCAAAAATTCTTTAACATTTTTTTCCTCCAGCTCCTCGCATTCTTTGCATCCAGATTCCGTTACGTTCTGCCAAATACAAAGAAAGGATTCGATTGGAAAGTCTGATATATTTCTTTCTTGGGACTCTCACATCATTTGAACCATAAAGTGAGAGGTCTTGAGACGTGAAAACTTGGGCAAATTAATATCATGTTAGGAAGAACTGGGAGCCGACATGGGTTTCCCCGCCCCCCCCCCGCTATAATGGACTGAGAGAATTGAAAAAAAAAAAAATAAGCCATGTCTATCAGACCATGGACTTCCTGTTTAGAGCCTTTCAATGGTTTCTGATCGTCCAGCCTAGAATGAAGTCCATGACTTCCTGCATGGCTCACAGGCCCTCCTTGAGCCGTTCTATACCTATTTCTTGCACCTTTCCCCACTGCCTCAAACGATACGCCCTAGGAACCCTGAGCTCATGACTATCCTCATGCACACATCATGCTGTCAGATGCCTCACTACCTTCACTGTTCTGTGCCTGTTCCACACTTCCTACTTTGGGTACTCCCATGAGTACTCACACCTAAGATTACTCAGGTGCTGTCTCCACCAGAAAGCCTTTCCTGAACCTGTGAGCTCCTGCGGTTGGGCTAAACGTCCCATTGCTACATTCTCAGAACCCCTTGTTTAGATGCTCCCTTACAGCACATCACATATTACATCGATGTTATGGCATTTTATGCTTTTTCTACCACTATTCTCTAAGCTCCTCCAGCAAAGCAAGGCCATGTTGTTTTTGTTTCCCTAGCATTCAACACAGGGCCTGGCACATAGTATTTACCTGATCCTCATTGGTTGAATTGGACTATTTAGGTAACTACCGCAAATTGTTGCAATTCAAACATGGTTTCATGGATAACTAGAATATTTCAAATGTGGCAATCATAAATACACTTTGTAGAGATCATCTGAACATGAAAGCTGTGCCAGCAAAAATAAAAATTAGATTTTACATCCATTAAGCATTTGAAATCCAGATTCACCAATATTTATTAAGCACAGACTCTATGCCAGGCACTGTCATATTCTATATAATGCCCTCCTATTTGATAATCATATCAGATAGGAAGGCTGAAATACTAAATGACTCATCTCAGTTGACATAATCGATGAACTTCCTCACGCCCAGGTCTTCGGACTCTGCAGTCCTGACCACTTCTTCCACGACACGTGCCACACGATGTCATGATGAGAGTGACTAGAACATTTATGTGAAAGAATTGACTGTTGATACTGTTATGAACTATTTGTTGTATGGCTCAGTCTATCAGTCAGATAGAGATAACATATCACAAGAGTACTTTAAACATTAATATATTTCTTTCGTAAGTATACTATCTAGTGCATGCCAGGCATTGTTCTGGGAGACGGATACAGCAATGAAAAAAATAAAAATACCTGTTGCTTTGAAGATGACGTTCTAGTAAGGAAAAGCATACAACATTAAGTAAAATACATAGTATGCCAGACAGAGGGTGATGCAGAGGAGACATGGCATGCTGATGTGGAGATGGGATTGAAACTGTAAAGAGGTGACGTCACTGAAAAAGTGACATTTAAGCAAAGACTGAAAGCAGCCTGGAATTTCTGGGGAAAAATCTAAGGTGTCCTGCCAGACTAGCTCAAGGTCTTGGTGCTCTGAGTTGCCTCTGCCTGAACAGATCCCCCGGGTACCCTTAGGGGTCCTGCCCTCAGGTCTTCACCAAATGTTGGCTCAGTAGATAAACCTTCTCTAAAGTAGAAACCCAGCCTCCTTACCTGCCTTCTTTTTGGCCATTGATTTAATAAATAACTGACTTATTATTCATTTGCTTAGTGATTGGTGTATGTATGCCTCCTCTTTCCTTAAGAGCAGGGACTGAGTATGAGTGTGTGTGTGTGTGTGTGTGTGTGTGTGTGTGTGTGTGTGTGTGTGTGTTCACTTATGTCTTCCTAAGAGCCTACAATGGGACCCAGAAAGTATTTGTTAATGAATTATTATTGTGCCTTCTTTGTTTACAAAACTGCTTTCTATCTACTTTGCTTTGGCCACCCGTGTTTTGCCAGCAAAACCATAATCCTTTGTACTTTAGAGCCTTTGCTCACAGCCTACTCCCTGGCCTACCATGGAGCACCTAATATTTGCCCTCCTGAAACCTTCTGCTGTTCATGTTACCTAGGATAGTCCAAATTATACTCGAATTATTATATTTCTATCATTATCCTTTTGCAGTATTTATATTTTCAGTAGATAAGACTCTGGAGTGAAACTGCTTGGATCTGAATCCTGGCTCCCCATTTTCCTAGGTGAATGAATCAAAAGAAGTGATTCAAGCTCTCAATACTCCAATTTCTTCAACCTTAAAACAGAAACGGGGATAATTATCTCAGAGATTTATTGTGAGGATTCAATGAATTCCCATTTAACCCTCGGAGAACTATTTGGTAAAGAGCAATAACTCAATAAATGTGGATTACTATTATTCATGCTAAATGCTTAGTTATGTACCTAGATTAATGTCTAGCCATTGCACCTGGTGCAAGATACCTTGAGGTCAGTGGCCTGACTGGGTCACCGCTGTCATGCTAGCATGGAAACACACTGCCTGGCACCGTGCAGTAAACATTTGTTGAATGAATAAATAATGCACAGCTAAGGATTGTGTACACATTAGTAATGCTGTCACTTCCAGATGCTAATCCACTGGAATTAACTCCCTCTTCAGAGGGTCTGCTTGTTCATTACATCCAGCTCATGACTTTTCCAGTAAAACCAAAAACATCCAATGTGACTCCGTGTGACTATTGAATAACTTACTCCATTAGAAGATAAACTTTTGTTTGCTAGGATGATAAGGTTTTCTATTGTCTCTCTAACGTCCATATTATTCGACTCCTGCCAAATAACATGGAATTCCAGAAGAAAGCACTTCATCGCCGTTACTTTGCAACTGGGCTGAAAAAAGAGTTACAAAGAACAATTTTGAAAAACAAATTATTTCTCCTTATTCATTTTCACATAAACATAATTTCGATTTTTTAAGTCGATCCAAGTATTGTACAAAGAAACACAACAGTCCTAAGAAGTTTCACATAGGAAACAGCTTGATTTTTTTTTCTTTTGGTTTCGAAATCGAAACCAAAACAAACTGATGACAAAAAAATCAAGCAAGATGGTGATATGGCACTGAAGAAAGTATGTGGAACGAGAAGCCGTGGCGATCAAAGGCCACTTTACTCACTGAGAACATTTCCTCTGTGTGAGAGTGACAACACTGGCCTGAGACTCTCAAAACATTAAAAACATAGTATGTACGGAAGACTTTTTAGAATTAGACGATACAGTTAACATTTTAAACAATGTAGCTGCTCATCATGCTATTCCTGCAAGTTCCAAAGTTCCAGAGGCAGAGGTGATTCCAAGAAGTTTATTAGAAAAATCAACGCAGGGGCAATCCCTACTCACAGCCTGGCCAGATCAGAGAGGTACCTCATAGGTACCATGAAAATACGTTTCCCACAAGGGTTACTTTAACAAAACCTAAACTTAAAAGAAAAGAAGCATCGAACAAGTATCGGGGGGATTAGACCGCACCTCGTCTGACTCTGTTCTCCATGCCTTGCATGGTGCCAGACGCCCTGCGGGCACTGAACGAATGTTTACAGAATGATGAAGGGAGCGGGGAAAACACTCCTGTGCTTGGCATGGCAGTACAGGAGCTTCCTCTTTATCTGTGGTTTCGTTTTCCAGGGTTTCAGGTATCTGCGGTCAACTACAGTCCAAAAATAGTAAACAGAAACTTCCAGAAATAAACAATTCATAAGTCATGACTCTATGATCCTCCTGACGTATCGTCAGAAGGTCAATAGCCACCTAACACTATGTCACAATGCCTATGTCATTCACCTCACTTCACGTAGGCACTATATCATCTCACATCATCATCAAAAGAAGGGGGAGTACTGGACAATAAGATATTTTGAGAGAGACCATATTTATATAACTTTTTTGCAGTATAGTATTATAATTGTCCTATTTTATTATTGTTGCTATTAGTCTCTTACTATGCCTAATTTATAAAATAAACATTATCGCCGGCATGTATGTATAGGAAAAAACATAATATCAATGGAGTTTGGTACTATCTGTGGTTTCAAGCATCCACCGGGGGTCTTGGAACATATTCCCCATGGATGAGGGGGACTGCTTATCCTCCACAGCAGCTGCTCAGGATCGAAAGGGTAAATACTATCACCATGGAAATAATAAAATAAGTTATAAATAAAATAAAATCATAAAATAAACAATAATACCGAGGATCAGAAATGTTTAGTGACTTCCAAGGTAACACAGCTAGGAAGTGGCTGAGTCGGGGTTTAAATCTAAGTTTCAATCTAAGCTTTTTTCTATGACCCATGAGTTGCAAGATTATCTTCTGGCAAAAAAAAAGCAATCTCAAGATGCTGAGTGTTGGTTGTCAATGGACTGCTTTCTACATTGAAAAAATGCAAAGAAAAATGGAAAATATGCTGAAGCGAAGGGAGGGAGACAATTTCTACGTGCAGCAGCTCTAGCCAATGGGTTGACAAACATCTATTTTTCCTAGTTTCTGGCTATGGCTTCTCCTTGATGCTTAGAAAGTCTTGGTGGGGGTAAAACCTGCTGTTTCAGAGACGTTCTAATTGAGGAACAACAGAGAGAGGACTCACTATTCTGAAAGCACACAACATAGAGTTTGTTTTCCACAAGGTAAGGAAGCTGGGGGATTTGTTTCTTGATTTTTAGTAACCAATCCAGAGAAAAAGGACTGGCAATGCGACTGGAATCATACATGCCCTAGACAAACTCTGTGTACTAAGGAAACAAATCCAAGATCTTTTCTGAATTCTGATAGGTTTTATGGGTTGTGTTTGTTTCTTTTCTCACATAGAGAGTAACCAGACAGAATCCTTTTCAATAATTGTAAAGATTCGTGCAAAATGTAGAACATAAATGTATTTGAGCTATTTGCAGAAAATATGATTAAAGATGGTAATACATTATTGCACTGGAAATAAACGATATGTTGGATAATTTTAAATTGAATCAGTTAACCTGATTTTTGTATTTAACTGCATCATAATACAGCTGCATCACAAAAATGTATAACAAATTTTGTCTGACATTGATGGAAAAGGCTTTTATGTATTTTACGAAAATAGCATCTATGTAGCTCTTTGTCCCCAAGTCCCACAAGCCCAACAATTACTTCAATTCATTGATCATGTGTTGTAAGAACACACTAAAATCTATATTTAAAATCTATACATATTTCATTAAATTTTTGAAAATACACTACTTAGACTTTTGAAAACTGGAATAGCAATTTTGAAAAAAATAAACTATACTCACATGAACAGAACTTTCCGTATATAAAGTAGCATCAATATGTATAGACTGAAAGGAAACAAAATTAGATATGAAAGATTATGCATTGCTTCAGATATAATGAGAACAACCTACTGACAACATTACATTAAGCTTTTAAAATTAAATTCTTTATTTTGAGAGAATTGTAGATTCATGTGCAATTGTGAGAGAAAATACAGCGAGATCCCATGTACCTGTCACCATTTCCCCCCAGTGGTAATATCCTGCATAACCACAGCACAATAATATAACCAGGAAATTGCATTGATACAATCTACCCACCTTGCTCAGATTCTATCAGTCTTCTGTTCACTAAAGTTTGTGTGTGTGTGTGTGTGTGTGTGTGGGTCCATGTAATTTTATCAGATGTGTCAATTAATATAACCACCACCACAGTTAAGATACCGAACAATTCCATCACCATAAGGATCCTCCTGCTACAGCCACAACTGCCTTCCTTCCCACACATGTCACCACCCCCACATCTTACCCTTCTAATTCCTGGCAACCACTTCTCTGCTCTCCGTTGCTATGATATCATTTCAAGAATGTTACATAAATGGAATCATACAGTATGTAACCTTTTGAGGTTGGCCTTTTGAAAAAATTAATAAACTTTATTTTTTGAATGGCTGTAGGTTTATAGAACATAAGCAGAAAGTATAGACAATTCCAAATACATCTCCTTGCCCATCCCTCCCTATTACCCCTAGTATTACTATTTTGCATTAGTGTGGTACATCTATTATAACCGATGAGTCATTAGTGATCTATTTCTAGCTAAAGTCCATTGATTATGTGAGGGTTCACTCTTGGTGTTATACATTCTATGGATTTTAACAAATATATGATGACATGTAACCACCCTTACAGTATCATATGAAACAGTTTCGCCATCCTGAAAATCACCTGTGCTCCACCTAGTCATCCCTCCTTCTCCCCTAACCTCTTGCAACCAGTCATAATGTACCACAGTTTAACCATTCACCTGCTGAAGGATGTCTGTGTTGTTCTGAGTTTTTAGCTATTATAAATAAAGCTGTACGAACATTCATGTGCATATTTTTGTGTGAACACGTTTTCATTTCTCTGATAACTTGTTCAAGAGTAAAATTGTTGGGTCATATGGCAAATGCATGTTTTGTTTTTTAAGAAACAGACAAACTACTTCAGAATTGCTACACAATTTTACATCCTCACCAACAATATATGAGTGATCCAGTTTTTCCACATTTTGCCAGCATTTGACATTATCACTAGTTTTTATTTTAGATATTCTTATAGATGTACAGTGATAAGTCATTGTAGTTTTAATTTGCATTCCCTCAATAAAAACAGTCATTTATTGGCATTTCCTCTAAAAAAAAAAAAAAGACATAAGATAATGTATTTCTTTCTTTCAATCTGCATGCCTTTTTTTTCTTGCTTTATGGCTTTTCTTTCTTTTTTCTTGCTTTACTAGTTTAGCCAAAGTTCCAATACTATATTGAATAAGAATGGTGAGAGAAGACATCCTTATCTTGTGCCCAATCTTAGGGGAAAAACACTCAGTCTTTCCTTGTTATGATGTTAGCTCTAGATTTTTCATACACACTCTGTATCAATTGAAGAAGTTCTCCCTCTAGACTGTGTTTTCTGAGAAATTTTATCACGAATAGGTGTTTTATTTTTTAAATGCTTTTTCTGCATCTATTAATATGATCACATAACTTTCTACTTTAGCTTGTAGATATGGTGGATTACATTGATTGATTTTCAAATACTGAACAGGTCTTGCATACCTGGAATAAATCCCATTTGGCCGTTGGTAGATTTGATTTGCTAATATTTCATTGAGAGTTTTTGTATCTAAGTTCATTAGAGATATTTGTAGTTTTCGTTTTTGGTACTTTGTCTAGTTTTAGCATCAGGGTGATATCTGTCTCCTAAAATGAGTTGGAAAGTGTTCCCTCTTCTGTTTTTGAAAGAGACTATAAAATTTGTGTCAATTTTTCTTTAAATGTTTAGTAGAATGCTGTAGCAAAACCAGCTGGGCCTGGAGATTCTTTTTTGGAAGCTGACATATGGCAAGTTCAATGTCTTTAATGGCTATACAAGTTTTTGGATTATCTATTCCATCTTTGTTATGTTTTGGTAGTTTGCAGTTTTGAGGAACTGGTCCATTTCTACTAAGTTGTCAAATTTACCAGAGCAAAGTTGTTTATAGTTTTTCTTCTTTATTCTTTTAATGACTACAGGTTCTGTAGTAATTGTCCCCAACTTCAATCCTGATATTGATGGTTCGTGTCATCTCTCTTTTTATTTTTGTCAGTCTCTAGAAGTTTATCAATTTTATTGATTTTTTTCCAAATAATGAGCTTAGTATTTCACTGATTTTTCCCTATTGTTTTCCTAAATTCTATTTATTAATGTCTGCTCTTATTTTTATTATTTCCTTCTTTCTTCTTGCACTGGGTTCATTTTGATCTTCTCTTTCCAGTTTCTTGAGGTAGGAATTTAGATTGTTGATCTGAGATCTTTCTTCTTTTCTAATAGAATCATTTAGGTTTATAAATACCCCTCTTGGTCATGCTTTAGCTGAATCCAACATATCTTGATATGCTGCATTTTCATTTTTATTCAGTTCTACGTATTTTTTTAATATCCTTTGAGACTTAACTTTTTGACCCATTGGATATTTAGAAGTGTATTATTTAAGTTCCAAATGCTTGGAGATTTTCTTGTTGTATTTGTGTAATTGACTTCTACTTGATTCCACTGTAGTCAGAGAACAACATACTCTGTATGATTTCAGTTCTAATAAATTTGTTTGTTTGTTTTATTTCCCAGAACATGTTTGGTCTTGGTGAATGGTGCTTGAAAAAGTATTTACTCTTTGTCGTTCGGTGAAGTATCCTATCTATGTAAATTCGATATTGTTGGTTGATTCTATTGTCTAGTTTTTCTATATCCTTTCTGATTTTCTGTCTAGTAGCTCTAATTGTTACTAAGGAGGTGATAAAGTACCTCAACTATGAGCGTAAATTTGTTTTTTCTTTCAGTTCTATCAGTTTTTGTTTCATGCATTTGAGGCTCTGTTGTTTGGCTCTATTGTACACATTTAAGATCGTTATGTTTTCCTGGTGGATTAATCTTTTACCATTATATAATTTCCCTCTTGACTCTAGTGATGTTATTTGCTGTGAAGCCTACTTTATTTGATATTAATATAGCCAATTCTGATTTTTAAATTATTGTGTGCATATGTTCAATTTCCTAGGACTACTGTAACAAAGTATCATGCAGTAAGTGGCTTAAAACAACAATGTAGTCTCTTACAGTTCTGGAGGCCAAAATAAAGGTATCAATAGGGCCATGCTCCCTTTGAAGGTTCTAGAGAACAACCTTCCCTAGCTCCCCCAAGCCTCTAGTGCCTCCTGGCAATCCTTGGCCTCTCTGGGCTTGTAGCTGCATCAATCCTATCTTCTTTGGCTTGTGGTTACTTCCATTCTCACATGACCTCTTTATTGTCAGTCTCTCTGTGTCTTGTCTTCCTACAAGGACACTCATCATTGGATTTAGGGCCCAACCCACTCCAGTATGACCTTCTCTTAACTAAGTATATTTGCAAAGACCCTATTTCCAAATGAGGTCCCATTCTGAAACTCTGGGTGTCAAAATTCACATTCATAAATTTTGAGGGGACATTATTCAACTCACTACAAATAGTATATTTTTCTCTCTTCTTATTTGCAACCTACCTATGTCATTGAAGTGAATTCCTTATAGACAAGCAATAAGTTGGTTTGTGTTATCTATTTGGCCAATCTCTGTCTCCTATTTGTATTTTCTTTCTCATCTCCTTCTCGGATGTTAATGCTAGGAATGCTGAATCTTTCACTGTCTCAAAGATCCCTGAGGCTTGCTTGCTTTTCTTTCTTTCTTTTCAGTCTGACTTCTCTCTATTATTCTATCTTCAAGTTCACTGTCTTTCCTTCATCATATTTTTCTGCTAATGAGCCTCTCCAATTGGCTTCATATTTCAGTTATTACATTTTTCATTTCCGTAATTTACATTTGGTTCCTTTCACATATTGTATTTCTCTGCTAAGACTTTCCATGTTTTTCAGTTGTTTCAAGAATATTTCTAATTGCCTGCTGGCACATTTTTATGATGACTACTTTAAAATCCTTATCAAATAATTCCAACATCTAATCCATGTCACTTTCAGAGTCTGTTGATTCTTTTCTCATTCAAGTTGTGATTTTCCTGCTTCTCGATATGAGAGATTTTCAATTCTATTCTGGCATTTTGGCTATTACATTAGGAGACTGTGGTCCTATTTAAATCTTCTATTTTAGTGGGCAGCCACCCTGGTTAGGTTTAGTGTGCAGGTTCTGACCTATGTTTGTGTGCTGGGATTCCAATGAGAAGTTAATTTTTAGAATCTTTGAGGTGCTAATTTGGAAAGATGGCTCATGTCAAACCCCTGGGACTCCCAAAGGCCCCTATTGTGTCACCCACTGTGGGCCGAAGGCACTGCCCTGCAGAGCTATCAATGGGCTCCTCTTCTCTCTGCCCTGCAGGTTCTACCAGGCCCACTGGCATCTTCAGGTGGGACAGGGGGTTCTCTAGCCCACAGAACAGAGAGGCTACCCCTGGGTCAGGCCATTGCTCCTGCAAGTGCCACAAAGATGCCTGGTTTTGAATCTCTGGTCTGTGGTGGCAGAGAGCTCTTCGTGCTGGGCCACTTATAATTGAGCTTTAAAGATAACTAGAATCCGAAAATTATAAGTAAACGATTTCATCTGAGGCTTTACAAGGCTCACAGATTTCTATAAAAATATTACAGTTTCAAGTAAGATTTCATTAAGACTGACAGCAAAACACAGGGAGAGGCAGACTCTATAGCAATTATACCAGATATTTTATGGAAAAACAAATACTTACTTGAATAAGATTTTCAAATTTTTGCAAATCTCTTATTACATACTGCCAGTTTGACTCTGTTTTAGGAAGACCTGCACTGACACGGCTGAAAGCAAAATCAAAAAGTAAAGCGTTTTGAATGAACACAGTATTATCTTGATGAATACTAAAGGCAAAAGAGCAATCAAGATTTTTATTCTGACTAGTGAAAAGATGTTATCCTTGCCTTTGTGCATTCAACAGCCTCGTAGATGAATAGAAACATCGAACACATAGTACATACAGCCTTGACACGTTAATGGGGACTGACAAATCTGGATTAAAGAAAAGCTTAATTTGGAGGAATAACTTATAAAAACCTGGTGCAATTTATTACAATGAAATAAATACAGTCCCTGACATGCGGTAGTACCCAGGAAATATTTTCGAGTGAATTACTAGTTTTAAGTAGAGGTCCCATCAGACTTTCAAGTCTAATAAGCACGTAAAATTCTTAACATAAGCAATAATCATTTTCATGTAATGTTTTTGATAGTAAAGATTCTTTACAGTAGATTAATATGCCCCTGTATGAGGTTCACGTTATTACTATGCTTGCAGCAGCTTTATCTATAAACATTACAGACTTTAGTCCAACCTAGGCTGAATGATCATACGCTTACTCACTTTGGGAAAACAGCAATTTAATATCGAGACAAAAGATACATATACTGACCAAGTGACTGTGGAATCATTCCTAGAGCTTCAGGAAAAACAGTTGCACCCGATGGATTTTAATAGAAACACGAGAACCAATGCTAATCTTTTTTGCCAGCAAGATTTACCTGCATAAATCTATGGTTCCCCACCCCGCGAAGGCATCAGTAGAGTAAAACTGAACTGAGTCCGATTACATAACTACAGGTCGGGTGCTTAGACCAAGGGGGTACAGTGTATTAGCTGCATCTAAGAAAGAAGTTAACAGGGATAGAAAAATATGAATATTTGTTAGGAGGAAAAACAAAAGGTTTGAAGAAAGAAAGAAATGTTTACAACTAAACTAGGATAGAGCTCAAAAGACAGGAAAAGTCAGTGTCAGGAAATAGATAAAAAAAGTAACATGGGTGAGCCTTAAATATCTATCTTTTTACTGCAATTAAAATCATGTAGGATATTAATAAGGAAAGGGCTTCCAAGTTTAGTTAGATACCAAGAGGTCCAATTCATTTGGAGGATACAATACTTGTTTCTGTACTACCAGAATAAAGAAGTGCTCAATTGGGTGTTTACAAGTCTCTTCCGAGTCTCCATAATCTGCCCTCTAACGTACTCCAAATACTGACTGCCTAACGTATGAGCAACTGAACACAAACCAATTTAATAGAGAAGATATTGAAGAATAATGATCATGGCCATCAGCATGATGATATTAATGCCTAAAGATAAAATTACCCCAAAATGAAGACATGAATGCCGGCCTCGGTTAAAAAGTGACTGTTCAGGAGTAAACACAAATAGCACTGGATGGACGTACTTCTCAAATATGGTTTCTGAAAAATATAATCATAGAGAAAATGGTTAAAATGTTTTTTTAGTTAAAAAGTAGTGTTTCAATTAATAGTTTATCATGTCTTTAGATCAAAATTTAAGAATTAGTGTTCCTTATTAGAATTAATAAAACTAGAATTTATTTATTTTTGCTCCCCCTGCTACCTCCAGCTCTGTTTCTCATGGGCAAAATTCTTTAAAATGATTTTAATAGATACTAATTTTAAGATAATTTACATATCTACCAACTTCACCACTATTATTTTTCTAGTACCCTTAAAATCCCTCTCATTCTTCTTTCATTTTTAATAGTCCAATGTATTTTATACAATGCAGATTAACAACATAGGTTTACTAGTTCTATCTTAATTTCATGTAACCATATGAATATTAATTACATTTAGAGAAAAACTGGATAGAAATAGAACCAATAAAAATATTGCCATCCCGAGACCCATTAGATAGTAATTTTTCTTGGTGATTTAGGAAAATCACTTAACTTAGAACTTCTTAGAGTCTGATACTTATGTCTGCCTCTTTCATGTTGTGAAAGCTTTAAAACTTTGGATAGCAGTGCTGATGGCCCCCTTAACCATGGAAAATCTGGACTTCATTTAGTCTACATGGAAGGGATGAGTACCACAAGCCCTTGTCCTCAAAGACTGCACAGCTCTCTGAGGAGACAGACACTTAAAAAACAAAATAGGGTGAGATAAGTGAAATAATGTATTTATGAGGACAGAAAGAGCATATTGGGGTTGTTAACAGTTTTAAAAAAACTTATTTGATTTACTTTTTAAAAAGAACAATCCATGTGTGAACAGACACCTGTGACATCCCAAGATGTTTTAGAGAAGAATCATATCAGGAAGTATCTGAGACTTAAGTGACCTTTTAGGAAAAGTCTCCAAAATATCTTCATCTAATTTTTCTTACCGAAATTCTCATTACTCAATGCCAGGGTAAGTCCTTAAATACTGAAGAAGAGCTGGCTATGGCAATGAGTTTCCAGCAGCCATCCATCCAGAATACTTCCTACAATACAATCCAGGGGAAAGAATGATCCATTAAAAACACAAGTGGACTAGCTGGGGGCAGGAAGAAAGGGAAGGGAATTATTATTTATTGAGCATCACTTTTTCATGGGTGCTCCATTAAGTCACTTAATATATGCATCCCATTTAATCCTCACTGCAGTCCTGTGGGGTAGGGGTAGCAGCATTTGGATAAGCTGCTTGGACCCCACAGCAAGGATAAGACAGCCAGGATTTGAGAACAGCTCTATTCGATTACAAAGACCAACCCTTTCCACTATTATGTTCCTGAATTGGCAAATTCCAAAGCTGTATCAGTGAAAAGAAGAAGCAAATATATACCTGGATTCATGTAAATTGACTGTGTTCATTTAATTTACAGCAGAAATAGCTGCTTCTACAGACATAAATAGATGTCTTCAGTCTTTGAAACTGTTAAAGGGAAAACTTCAGGCCCGAAATGATGTCCCTTGTGCTAAAGTCCAGGATAACAAACCTAGATTTAATACCTTACGTAATTACTGTTTCAACCTCACTCAGAAATATTATCTTAATCAACTGGTCTGGAATTTTCTGGACAACAGCAATGAGGTAATTCATCCTGTTGGCCCTCTCCATTCCCTATAATAAGAAGGTGCAACCTACATGATGAAAACTGCCTTCCTTCCACCCTCCCCCACAAAAAAGATGTCCTAAATATAATCCTTTCTTTCATTAATAGCTCTTTGCCCCACCCTTCTTCCTATAAAAACTTTCTATTTTGTACAACTCCTCAGAGCACCCCTGCCAGCAGTTAGATGGGATGCTAGATTCATGAATTGCTTAAGAAAGCCAATTAGATCTTCAAATTTACTCAGTTAAATTTTGTTCTCTAACAAAATAAAACACTCTTAACCGAAACATTATTAGAGATTTTCATAAGTGACAGAATTCTATTTTTTCTCATTCAAAGAGGTGAAGAATGTGAAGATTACACATTCCCATATTTGACTCCATTTTATTAAAAAATTTTAAAGCCAAAATATATAACACATAAACAATAATTTTTTTCTTTTTTTTAAAATAATATGTATTTGTTGACCTCTCCTAAAAAATCAAAATCTACATCTCTCAACATAAATATTCACTGCAATTAATTCTATAAAACTCAAATAATTATTTTATTTTTAGATATTTCTGAAATATAAAAATGATTGCTCTCCAACTACACGATATGTAACTCTTAAAAGGAAAAATCAACATTATCTAGATGTCAAACAACATACTACAAGAGTATATCCGATAGGAACGCCTCTTTTTCTATAAAGACATTAAATCTAACCCTTCTATTATATATGATCCAAATCATCCATTAACTGGTTTAATTAAGGCAAATTCTCCTTATTTCTCTCATCTCATAACTATCCTTTTTTGTCCATATTATCTCAGTGCTTCAATTTTTTTACAAAATTTCAAAATTATCTTTGTAATTTCATCTAAAGCCTCTTATATTCCCCACCTCCTTTTCCATTGTAGTATCTCAGACTCTACATTATTCCAAACACGGTATTTACTGACTTGGGAGTGAGCAGTACTAAGAGTGAGACAATTGTTAATAAGGCCTCGGAAGCAACTGGAGTAAATGATGGAGATTTCAGTCCTAGGCTTTGGCAGCCATGAATCTCACATGAGCAGCGTGTTTAATCCTTACCCATGTCACTGTGGATTTTCACCGCCTGCCCAACTACCTCCAGCTGACATATGACAAGGAAGACAAAGTGCCTAAGCCAGAATGTTCCATGCCAAGCATAGTTGAATGAGTAGAATAAAATAATGATAATGGAGGCCGGTATAGATGAAAAGGAAACTTTTACAACTGGATTATCATTTGACGAAAGTACTGATGTGGTTTATCTGAGCTGACAGCAAAAATCAGGTTTTCATAGCAGCTTCAAAAGCATTCAACCTGCCACTTACAATAGTTCTGTGAATTGATTTTACCAGAAGTGTGTGTGTGTGTGTGTGTGTGCGCGCGCGTGTGTGCGTGTGTGTGTGTGTGTGATCCTAGTGAATCGAAAAATGTGAAAAGATAAAATATTCTATTCCTTTCTCTTTGGCCACGCCTCAATGTTAAATGCTAACATAATTATTAATGATGGTGACATCGATTAGACTAAGTGTTGTTTATCTGGTGCTTACAGGTTTACGAAATTATTTCATATACGTTATTACATTCAATTCTGGCAATATCTTTATGTTAGAGATATTACTCTTATTTTAATGTGAAGAAATTGAGGTTCTGAGAGGTTAAGTGATTTGCTTCAGATAAATGTCACATATATAGATATTAAAAATTTCTCACAGCCTAGTTTGGGCAGAAGGAGGGGTGAGAGACATTTCATAAATTCTGAGGTTGAGAAGTGTAGGCCCTTTATTATAGACAGTATCTGACCCATCTCAAGTGAAAAATAAAAAGCTACTGCTTTCCAATAGTTTAAACACAGGTGTTTCAAACTGTTCCAATGCAAAACAGAACTCACAGTCTTTCACATATATTATCTCATTTGACTCTCACAAAAAAAACCCCAAAAACCAACTAAACAAAAAAATCTGTTAGAGAGATGTGTCTGAAACCAGGTTAATTACTTTCTGAGAAAGCAAATATAAGGCTGAAATAAATTGTCCACTTCCTTTACTGTCATATTTTTGGAGAACTATGGAAGTAGTGTTAAATCCTGGCATACTAATTGCATACGGTAATAAAATGCCCTCGTAATCAGCATCTTTGAAGGTTTGTCCTTCATTCACCTGGGTGCCTGCATCCGGGAATAAAAAAAGACTAAGTCCCAGGCTACTCTCAAGGAGTTCGTAGAGTTTAAACAAGAAATTTTTTGGAATCCTGTGATCGCATCTTGCTGCAGTGTTTGTTGACTTTATGGCAGCATTGCTATGCTAGTGGAATGTCACTGACACGGGCAAGACATCTGGAGTAGTGGACATATGTAAAATAAATTTAAACAGACTCAGCAACAAAAGAAGAGTTATAAGTATTGGTTTAGGCGGTAAAGACATTCATTTATTCACTCAAAGAAAAACAAAAATGAGGGCAAACCTAGGTTGAGTGCTTATGTGGACGACAAGGAATGTAAGATAGCACAGCTGTCCTTTATTGAAAGGTAGGTCTACATGCAGTGTTATATTCTCGACGATTCCTCCGATTTTCTCAGTTAATTAGAACTAAAAGTCATCAGCAGAAGGTGAGGATGGGAAGGAGGTGTTAAGGGTTGAGGACAGAGGAGAATATATGAAATAGCCATCAAGATAAGTAGGAGAATGAACAAATGTAAGTATGATATGACAGCCATGCCCATTGAAAGTCCACGGTTGTGAACGGTCAGAAAGTAAGATCAGTCGACATGTTTGTGTGTGTTTTCTCCAGTCACATTAAGCTGCAAGGAAGAGGCAGGCCTGGGATAGGTAGAGAACTGGATTTCGTCATGATTGCGTATGCCAAGAGAGAGGCAAGAACTCGTAAAGTATATATAAGGGGATATAAGGGAGCTATGTCCAGGAAATTTGATTTTCTTTTTTTTATTATAAAACTTCATGGAGGAAGTGTTGTTGGAGTCATACCTTAAAAAATAAGTAGATTTTAGCTACAAATTAAAAAGGAGAGAAATAACATTCTAGGCGGAGGAAAGCCTGAGCAAGGACATACACAACATAGCGTGTAGTCAGAGAAAAGTGAGTCATTTGATAACAGTATGAAAGAAGTGGTAGGTAAGAGCTGCCATTGTATAAAGAAAGAATTGGTAAGCATTTTCTCTAAAGGACCAGATGGTATTTCAGGCTTTGTAGGTCTTACAGTGTCTATCACAACTACATAACTGCTATTATAGTGTGAAAACAACCATAGACAATACATAAACGAATGGGTATGGCTGTGTTCCAACATGACTTCATTTTTCAAAACAGACAGTTGGTGAATT